TTAATTTCTTATATGGGAGTGCAAACAAATAGCACTATTATGGTTACTGATTAAGAAAATGTACTGGTTGGAAACCTGCAGAAACTCAGGTGTAACAAGCAATAGATGTGCAGCATAATAAAAGCCCCACCTCTACACCAAATTTCACAATTTCTTTTGGCTCCCTCTGCTAGTTTCTCCACTAGATTAAATGATGTGCTATCGGAGTGACCGGATGTACTCTGAAGTCCTCAGACTTATCTCTGCAAAGAAAACAAAGCTTTCTTCTCCAGCAGCTCCTTGTTGATGTGAGGTCTCTCTTCAAACTGAAGGTTTCAGTTGAAAATTGAAAATGCTCAGCTTTTTTACTCTGTAAAATTAAGTGACCTAATTTTGCAAGACCTGTGTGAGCAATTTTAAAAGAGCAGTCAGTGTAGCTGATTTGGATGTATAGCTAAAGTATGTATGTGCCTCCAGATACCTACAGAATTTGTGTTAGTAAGCCTAGCTAGGGTATGCAAGTTCCTGTTTGCACAGACTTACTTGAGTTTTAACATGCCTCGCCAGGCTAAATCTGCTAGCCAAAATCTGCGACAAAGATGCCCTCAGAAGCCCTGTATTAGGACAGCTTTGTAGTCCTCAAGTAGCACATCAGAGATTTGTCACTGGCCTGAAAGGATCAGCAAAGGCTAGCTGTGGATGGACAGCTTGACTCCACTGAGTTCCTCAGCCAGAGTGCTGCAGGTGAGTGATTTTTACCCCAGGGAATGAGGCTGTGAGCTCGGGAGAGCAGCTGAACAAGGGGCCTGTGACTGATGCCACGGCTCTGTGCACCTTGATGGTGTGAAGTTATTGTGCCTGCATGGGTGCCATGCAATCCACTCTAATCCTCAGACCCAGAGAGCTCAGTGGGGTTTGCTGGTAATTACAAACAAAAACAGGTCGTGTAGTGGTGACCTCTGTAAGTACAGCAGCCCTGCCAAGGGCCCTAGGCTGTTTTACAGAGCAAGCAAAGGAAGGAGGGTGCAGAGATGATTCACCATCTCTTCATAAAGCAGAACCTAGCTGACCCAAAGGCACAGCTAAAAAAAGATAAATACTGGAATCTGCTTAGCTTTGTCTTATTTGTGCCTTGTAAGCATAATTTTGAGGTTATGCAAAATAATTTTGTGTCAAACCCACAAAAAACCCACCCTGTGGATCTAAGGTTTTACTGTTGTTTTTGTGAAGGAAGTCTCATGTGCTGTTTTCTTAGAAAATGAAGCTCAGTTCATAGCCATATGATTAAAACAGACTCTTTCCTCTCCCCTAAAAAAATAAAATCACATGAGCTCAATTACAAAAGCAACAGTCAAATCCTGGGGGTTTGCTGTAGTGTATGAAAACACTTAGCACCATTAACCATTTCCTGGGATAATCAACTCATGCAGCAGCAGGGTGAGTAAATGAGTGAAAGGCCTCAAAGAATTTTTTATTTCTTTTATCCAAAGCCTGCTGTAGAAGTGTATACGGAAAAGTTGTAGGGACAGTTTAATAATCACAGAAGCAAAAGAAATCATGAGAAGGGGGAGATTTGAAAGAGAGCAGAGGAATGTCAAATAGCAAAAACATTACTTCAATTTTTTATGAAGGTTCATCATCAGGCTATGTGACAATAGTCAATTTTTATTTTTATTTTTATTGTCCTTGAAATATTTTTGAAATTCCAGGGTGAGAGCAAAATATTATTATTTCATTGGCTGCAATTTTAAGAAATGTTTATATGTATAAATATATATATATTTTTTTTCTTTTTTTTGTTGGGGAGGGGATGGATTTTTGAGGTTTTCTTCAATTTTCAGCACTCAGCAGCATTCACAATGGGCTTTTTTTCCCTCTAAAAGAAGGAAAAAACCACTCAGTAAACCCAATAGCTATTAAACTAAAAAGAAGAGAAGAAAGCAGAGAGTCTCATAGCTCCAATGTGTGTGGAGCTGTAATGCCAAATGCTTTATCTTACAGTGGCCTTGGCTTAACTTTCATGTCAGGACTGACTGAACTGTGCTCAGACAGCTCTGCCCACTAGTGCACAGGCTGCTTCAGAGAAGACAGAGCTGTTCCTTCACCCCAGCTTCATCCTTTACCATGCTGTGCCATTGTGCAACATCAAGAGGTGCTGATTCCAATAAAAGTCATGTTGCTAATAGGGGGGAAAAAAAAGGAGAAGTGCTCTTTCTGCAGAAACTGCGTGTTAAACCTGTGATTTTTAATTTGATTCTGCTGAATATGGGCTGGTATGGACAGTCCCAAACTCATAGAGTGCAGGACTTAATTCCATTAGGAGATAATGAAAATCTAATCTCCACCCCAACGTCTCTGCAAAGAAAGAGAGTCTGGGCATCACAGGCTTGAGTGCCAACTCCCTGCAGTGCAGTTCCTGTTTCAAGCCAATGTGTTATAGTATGAAAAATGGGTGCTGAAATGTTTATGTCAAACAAGGAGGTGCACGAGTAGTCTTAACTGAAATAAAAACCAAAACCCAAAAAGAGGTATTTGAAAAGGTACGTGTTATGAATGCCTCACTGTCTGTGCAGAGCTCCTTTGTTGCTGAAGGAAGGAGCAGCCAGCTGCCTGGGCAGCCTCTCAGCTGAAGTGGGAGTAGGTGTGGTGTGGAAATCTCCAGGGCCGTGCAGATTTACATCTGCTGAGCGTTCAGCATGTCTGTAGAACAGCTGATCCGAATTTCCTAACTTACCTGCAGAAGTTTGAGCCATAGCAAACCTGTGGAGCAGTTCTCAGCCTCCTGGTCGGAGCAAACCTGCTCCCTGTGAGCGTAAAGCAGCAGGTATGTTTATTGTGCGAGTAACAAGGTCACTGACCGTTCAGCTGCAGGAGCAAACTCGATTAAGACTGGTGATAATCTTTTGAAAGACTGTAATTTATCTCCATTTGAGGAGTATTATCTTTGTTCTACAGCTATCACGGAGAACAAGGTTAACAAATATTCCGTGATGAATTTTTGAAAGCTTTAGTCAGATCTTGTATATTTAAGCCTTTCTAAACGGCTGTCAAAGGCAAGGAAACAAAGTGTCAAATTTGTACACAGACCTACCTAATGGCCTTTATCTGAGAGAGTGGTTTATGATTTATACAGTCTCTACCTTTACTTAAACAATTTCTCTTTTGCTCTGCAGAGAAGGCAATTTTATAGCATTACTCACGTGGGAGAGATTAGCCCCAAAGACTGATCTTACTGAAGGAAGTAGGAGATTTAAAACACACAGAGACATGATGCAAACCATATGATAATCAGCTTTTATTACTAATTGCTTCTGAATTGTCAGTTGACTGTGTTTGGATACAAAAATTATAAGTGCATTCTATTTTAAAAAGGGATTGTGCTCATAAAAAGCTTTCAATTGTCCTTAATATTTAAGTAAACCATCACCTTCAATGATGTTGCATAAATATGAATAAAAGTGCATACTTTTTATCCTTGAATAAACATTAACAACATAGGTAAATAAGAAAAAACTCTCTACATGATTTACAAAATCATAGAAATTCTACTGTCAGGGGAAGAGGAAAGAAATTAGTCCTGGATATGCCTCCTGGATATTTTTCTTAGAGAATTATTCTTGTAGTGTCTTTCTAGGAGTCTTTTTGCGTACAGGATTGGTATCTGGATAACAGAAAGAAGCCACATACATAATTATGCATAAATATAAATTATGTGTATGAGTATGTACGTGCCTATGTACATATATATATTTGTGTGCATACATATACATAATATATATGCATTTATGCATCCAGATCCACAGACATAATGTCTCTTTAATCACAAGGTCTTTAATTTCAGGAATATATGAGAAAACTGAGAAGTGGAATAAATGCATCAAGACTGCATGCTTCTTTGCACATGTTCATTCTGATGAGAATCCTGTACAATTCCTCTGGGATCAAATGCTCTCAACTGGTTTTGTCACACAGTAGGTTTTGCTGGCTTTAGTGAAAAAGATTTTAAGACTACTTATGCATGCAGATACATTAGTGCCACTCAATCCAAGAAGTTGTAACTCCTCTGTTTTCCTCAGGACCTAGCAGTGAGGCTGTGGCTGATGTTTTTTTAACTATGCCAACTGGATTCCTGATGACCCTGCTGCCTGTTCCAGCAGATCCGTGGCTGCCATTTGGTCTGAGAATTAACACTTGTTGAAAGTACCTTAAGGCTGTCTTGCACTTTAAGACAGTGTTTTTCTCTGGATCTCTTTTGACTGGCTGATCTACTACAGATACCTTGTGGAATTGCTAGAAAGGATTACGGACATGGATAAAAATACAGTCCCCGTGGTACAAGTGCACTAATGTATTAAGGATTGAGCTTGTAATAAGAAAGAGAAATTTTTAGACCAATGTTTTTCATTTCCACACTGTTTTGGTTTTTTTTCAGGTACTTTGATCCATTCCATAGTAATTATTAACGAATGATGAGACCAGAAGAACAAAGAAGCACTATGTTCACATTGGGCTTGACCTCATCTCCAGCCCTTAAGCCTACCAAAGTCTTATTGACTTGTTAACTTTCAATTCAAGAGAAATCTGAAAATTACAAAAGCCTTAATTATCTCAGGCAATACACCTTTCATGCAATTTTTGTTTGTTTTAAAGTATATAAACAAAGCTGTAGTGTCACAGAGCACAGACAAGGGAATGGACCACCAATGAGCTGTGAATGTTTCTCTACATTCAAGAGGAGACCTCTGGTTCTCATAATCTACTAATTATGATGTTTGTGTTCTTGATTCTGTAGTCTAGGAGGCTGAAACAGAAAAAGGCACTTGTGTGTACTTATATAGTATAACACTTTGTAACTTACCTTGGAGTTACATAGCCACTGGAACATGGTTATAGTCCAATAAATAAGACCTCTCAAACTCTGTTTGAGAAGCTATACTTTTTTAGCTTAACTAAAAAATCTAGAAATAATGGAAAATGAAACTAGTATGTCAGTATTGACAAGAAATATTATCAGTCCTGACTAAAATCAATGCTTCCTTCAAGAAGTTTATTTTATCTTATTTATAGAGCTTTCTGTTGCTCTCATCTCCAAATTACCTATGGCTTTCATAGAATCCAATGAGGTTAGCATCCAACTTCACCTGGGAGAGCAGAAAGATTAGTGTCTTCATCTCTCAGATGAGAAAACGGAGTCACACCTTGCAGACACGGCTTCTTTCAGAGCACAGAGAACACAGGAAGCTGAGCAAAAATTGATTGCCATGACAATGAGTTGAATTTCAGCTGTTCTACTTTTCAATCCAACTCCTTCTTTTTAACAGTCTTTCTTCAGAAGTAGTTGACACATACAGTTAATATGAGTTGATTTCACTCAACACACCTACAGCCATTAAAAGAAAAATAAAAATCTGCTGATTGAAAAGAAAAAAAAAGGGTAAAAGGAAGAAACATAAGCCTTATTTTAAGATTTTTAAGAATGTAGTGTAAATGTGAATATTCATGTTCTTCTGTCCCAAGCTATGATTAGTAGTTCTGCATTCCAGAAATATGAACTTAGTAGACTCATAATGTCTATTTACCTGTTTTCAAACATTTATTGCGTTACATTTATTGTGATGCTTGCATGTTCTTTCCCTATTTTTGTATGAAATTTAAATTATAATTATTTATTGCTTCTGTGAACTTATTTTATTGTGGACTACATTTTTTTCATACAATAAAAGGAAAATAATGACCTAAAATCTGAAGTATGTGTATGTAGGACCTAATCAATAGCTCTCATCAAACACACTCCTCTGGCCTTATAAATGCTATGGATTCAGTTCCTGCCCATGAAAAAGAGAGAATTAAAAATGACCCAGATGAGGAGAAAGGCAATTAAATGATAAATTAGTGTTAACAATTTTGCTTATGACATACAAGCTTCATTCCATCTCATCCAGCAAATACAGTAATCCAGACAAATTATTCATTAAGAACTAATTGGTGCCATTGTTGGGAGGCAAGATTTTAATGGCCAGTTGATTTAAAGAAGGATTATCTGAAAGGAGTTGGTCAACTGCCAGAAGCTGTTTGCAATGACAAATTGCTCACAATGAATTGTTTAGAGAGAAAACACTACTTTTTGTTTATGAAACAAATCTGCATGCCAGTCAGTCAAGCTCAGTATGAAGGGTGTTTGGTATAAGGTCATGAATGCAACAATGGTTTGCTTTTCTTAGTATGTGCTGTTTATTTCTCTTGAAGTTGTAACTGCTAAATAGCAGCAAAAAGTAGTTAGCAACTCCAGAATTTGGTCTATTATTGTAACAGAGAAAGGCTGCCCAGCAGTCTTTTCATACCCATCTCTTTTTTTCATTGGCAATCTTCCTGTATTCAAGGGGTAATCTGAAAATACCTGTGTGGAATGACTTGTAGACATTTTCAGGAATTCTAATGATTGTACTGGATCATTTAAATTCAGTAACCTATCTTCCTCTGGCTGAAAAGCCTCTCTGAGTGATTCAAGCCATCTAGCTCCCGTGAAGAAGCAGTATGATTGCTGGTGCTCCCTCAGAGCTGCTAAGAAATAACCATTAAAATTTGCTCTTAACAGTGTTTCTTACAGCATAGTAATTTAATGATATGTGTTGTTCACAGATGTTGAAGAGGTAGATATTGCACAATAGTCAGTACAGTCAGATTAATGGTTTTGCCAGCAAATGTTATTGTAAATGTACTCAGAAGACTGCAATCAATTTTCTGCACAGCACAAAACACAGGCCATGTCCAGTTACACAACACTGCATGACATTCTTTTCTTGCCTACACACAAACAATTTCCAAGGGGCCATGCTGCCTTTCAGGTGTGTTTATCTTTGTCCTAGTCTTAATATAATGTAAGCCTCCCTATTCTTTAAAGACAATACTTTCACACATGGAATAGTCTTTGTGCAAGAAAGTTGCTATGGAAATCCATTATAACATTTTTTATAGCTATAAAACCCTTCCAGATAGTTCTGTACAATGTCAAACTTTGTATATCACGCAGTGACTGCCTGCAAGTGTATTAATACATATCTGATGGGCAAGGGGGGTTTTGTGCAGTAAAATCATCTGTGTACTTCTCAGCAGAGGGGAAAGCTACTCTCTGTGGTCAGTGAGAGAAACAGAACAGAATCCTAAGCTGGAGTGCAGGACAGGCTAGAGAGATGCAACTCCTGTGGTGTTCAAATGCTTTATGCTATACAGAAAAGAGAAGGACCATGCACTATAGCTTTAATGGCTGTAACATGAAACTGTAAGCATTCTCTCTGCAGCTGACTTTACTGAGCATGAAGATAAAGTACTATAGCTTTCTAAGCTGTCCCTATCCCCACAGTCTGGACAGTGATATGAGCCTGTGTTTTTCAGGCAGCTGATCTGCCTGAAATAATCTAAAAGTGATGGAAGAAGCAGGCAATAAGTATGATCAATTGAGCACCAAGTCAGGCCAAATCAGTCAGATATTAATCTGCTGTTATTAGTAAGCTAACTAGAGAGACAGCCAAATTCAGCAAAGAATCTACTGACATTCAAGTTGAAAATAGTTCAGTACTTCAGGACTAAAATGATTCCAATTATTTTAGACATTTATCCCTCAAGTCTTTTCTTGAAATATTTTTTTTTTCTTGGTATTTGAAGTTAAAATTACCAGCCTACAGAAAATGGAGTCAGTGTGGGACACAAATATGTGAAGTTCACAAATTGTCATGTACCTTCAAGTGTGCAGTTTCTGAATGCACAGATTTCTATGTCAGTGAAAGCAGCAGGACAATGACCAGGTTTATTTTTAAATTTTGCTGTTTTTATGCTTCCAAGCCCAGTCACATACATCGGTTACCAGTACGGATGTGATTTGATATTTGCAAAAAGAGCAGTGATGTAAAGGCAGATCCAATTCAAGAGGGTGACTTATCTCAGTGCTCACCTCTACCCTGCTCCTTTCTCCTGCTGGAGATTACTACTCGAATGTGTCAGCTCAATTGTTTGCTCAACATAATTTAAAATATTTCTACCCAGTGAATATATTTTGGATAAGAGTGATAATCTCATAGAACCATCATAGGGCACAGTCACCAGATCTGTTCCTCAATACATTTTAGTGAGCATACAGGAGCAGGTGTGCACTGATCTGGTCTAAAGTTTCATAGGGGAAAAAACAAACTTTAAATGTTCATCCATACATTTACCATGAAACTCTTCACTGATTTGATTTACACTGCTACCCTACAGGCAGTAATGGAGGATTTAGATTCTTCCCCACACAAAGGCTGTTTCTGTGTCACTTGTGTCACAGGAAAAGACTCATAATTGAAGATAACCCTCCAAAAATTCAAGACAACTGTTGAGATTTGACCACAATGATAATCAGTTTTATAGTATTATGAAAACAAGACAGATCTCAAAGGTGATATTGTATCATCTGTCACTAGGGAACATATACTTAATTTTTTGTCTGTTATCTCATTCCTGATAAAATGTACCTTTTGTGCTGAGTTTGGACTGAAAAGTACTTATCTGGCAGTGAGCTCTGAACTTTTCTGAAATTTTCACTTTGTTAGAAAGCTCAGAGATCATTTAAAAACAGTTACAATGTGAACAAAAGAAATGGGGACAGCTTCTTCAGTTTCTGAACTGATGTATTTCTCAAGTGTTATTTGTCCCTAGTTATTCTGAATATTCATTTATTCATGAATAATAGAGAAGAAAAATCATGCTCTCATTTACACACACAGAATAACTCTTCTGAAGTGGAAAAGTCTTTAGTATCACTGTATACATAACTTTTCTTAGTGTTGTGGCTGTGTTGCAAACACATCTGGCATGGAAAGTTTGAAACATCACACAGCTTTCCTGTGACACATTAACAGTGTTTATGTATACATAAGAACAAGTTCATGTAGAACCCAATTGTGGTCAAAAATACTGTACTGTGAAAAGTCATTGTTGTTTGTAATCATAATCATTACATCTGAAGCAGGCTGCAGGTAGGAATGACTCTCTTTCAATTCAGTTTCTGTTTCCATTAGAGCTTTCACAGGTTTGTTGGCTTGAAAAAACCAAAAACAACAACAAAGAAAAAAGAAGATAAAAAAAAAAAGGGATTTGTTTGCTATGAAGAAGGGTCTCTGTGTCCTGCAAGAGGCAACTTTGCTCACAATCATGGACAGGCATTTGGAAAGACTGTGGATTTCCTGAAACTTAGTGCATTGCCTTGTCATGTTGAAGTACTGAGTTGCAGAGAATGACATCCATACCCAAGTCTAGACATTACAAAGTGGGCTGCTTTTTTTTTTCCCCCTTTCAAGGACCATACTTCTTTCCAACAGTTGAGTAATGGTAGGAATGTAAAGTAGAGGCCCCTGATCTATGTAAATATTAATTTTGTGCCTTTTTTAACACTGATTTGACATTCTCAGCTATAAACAATTTTCACAGGCTTTCTAATTTGCTCCATCACAAGATCCCAGCAAGTCAAATAGGTCTCTGAGTAGGGTAGATAAGCACAACAGAGAAAGGCTGTCTATAAACAGAGGCAGAAAAAAACCAAGTTCACATCTGGGTCAGTGAACAATCGTTGGTGTTTGGGAAACAATGTCAGTGAACAGCAGCACTTAACATTGCTTTAAAAAATTAAGTGCTCCTGGTCTGATAGAACTGTCCTTTGAAATCAAAGGGAATTTTTTCCTGATTATAATGGAAACTGGATAGAAATTTAATACCAAGATGATTACATCCTTAATACATTCCACAGATCTAGATATTTATTAGAAAGATGGAATAGTACATAAATCATTGTCTGCATAAATCATTACCATATCAGATTGCCTTTAGACAAACAAAACACAAGAGCAAGAAAAGCAGAAAATTAGGAAAACCAGTTTGTCATTGGCAGAAGAGCTGAGTGTACTTACAAGCTCTGTTTATGAGCATTTGCAGAAATGTTCTAGGGGTACATATGTTCCTAATTTGCATTTTAAAAAAATGGTATGCAAATTCAGAATAAAAACTTGAATATACACCAGCATTTTTGAGCTCTGTGTAAAAGGTGGTTTTGCGCTGGCATATAGCTAAAAACACTGAAATGGCAAATAACAACAAACATTTGAAAGCTTCTCAGGTGAGTCCATGTTTGTACCTGGCAGGCACATACAAGTGCAGGGATCCACAGATGCACTGCGTCTCCTGTTACAGCAAACTTTGAATATAAGGTCTTGTTTCCAAATTCTGTCCCACCTTTCAAGATAAAAACACGTGAAAGTGCTAATTCCACAGGACAAGGCATGTAGTAGGTTGACGCTGCTTTTGGCTCCCAGGAGCTTTTCAAATTTTCTCTCCCTAAAAGCGCCAACTGCATTTAATATAGAAGAAATGTCCTATGAGTGCCTGGAAGTAACAGCTGAACCTACCTGCAAGTCCAGTGACTAAATGGAGGAGTGAGGCATGCTGGCAAGAAGGGAAGAGAAGCTGGCCTTCCCACATGTGGGCTGTTGATGTCTTTCAGTCCACACGCAGCACACTGAGAGCTCCGGAGTGACACTGGTTCATCTGTAATGAGGAGAATTTTTAGATCTGCAGATCTAGATCTGTAACACAGATCTTAAGACAGCAAGGAATATTATTCTCCACACAAAAGCATCTCCCTTGTTCCCTGTACACATTCTTTCCTTTTGACATTTAAAACATCAGGCAGAGGTCAGGCCTTCTCTTGGAGGGCACAGCTTAACCCACGGCATGAAGTGTCCTGTTGAGTATCCCATGAACTGTTTGGACACTCAGCCAGTCCTTTTGCTCCCAGACTGATTAAAGCCACCTATTTCAGTTGACTGAACTGTCCTGATCATGCTACCTTTGATTGTGTTTACTTGATGGATCCCAAAATCGCACTATTAATGAACGAGCTTCATATACTGTAGTGATGAGCCATGTACCTCTGGCAGATGAAACTTTTAAACACTTATCTCATTGAAGTATTTGATGATTTTCCCGTATTAGTCTATTTTATTCCTGTCACTTTTCTCATTCATTAACTAAAAAAAAAAAGCAACACTAAAAAAAAACCCAAAAAACCCTCCTACTGATCTTCCTGAATTTTGATTACTTTAAGTAGAATCTGAGCTATACTTACCTCAAAGGAATACAAATACATTGCAACTGGAGAAACTGTGATAGAAATGAACAGAAAGGAGGGGGGCACAAAACCTTCAGGAAAGCAACAGACAAAAAGCAATAATAGGTGTTACTTCATGCATGGACTATCACGTCAAAAAATAACACTATGTAATTGTTTACTAGGTGTTCAGAGGTTTTACACATTGGATTCCAATTTCTCATATTTATTCTACCACTGTAACATTGTTAAGTGAGACTGTGCTCTCAGCTGTGTTGTCCAGTACTTTTTCTGAAAATTTAAAATATGTGTTGCTATAGGGAATCTTAAGGTGAAAATTTCTATGGCTACTTTTTAGAACCTGAAAGTGAAATCAGATAATATTGAATATTTCACATAATTTCAGCCATTTAAGTTACTTACTGCCTAGTAGGTTTTCCATTTCTCTCTGCATTAGGTAATATTGATAGCATAATTAAGATGCTTAAATCTTTTCATTACGGCTTCTTGGTGCATTTAAAATGTAATTAAATCATTGTGAATTTGCAGCCTTCATTAGTTCTTTTCAAAGAAGTGGAAGAATATTGCCCTATAAACAGCATATATTCCATGACAGCTGGTTTGTTCTGCTGCCTCACGAGAAGAAGATAAAGCCTCATGGAGATGTTTTAATGCATCACATTGAAGTCTATTTCAGAAATTTGTCAAAAATAAAAGATCCATCATTTCATTCCACATTGCTAATTATATTACAGCCAAAACCATCAGAGTACTTGTACTAATAATTTTTTTTTAAGATAAACTACAAGGCTAAAAAGGAATCTTGTACCAAAATCAGGTACCACATTAGCAGATAGCTCTGTAGGTACATTTGTCCTTTCAAAATTTATTCTCAGTATAGTTATCCTTCAGCTCACTTTATTTTACTTATGATTCCTCCTTTCTGTTAATCAATTGAAGCTGATTTTAGGCTTGTAGACCTCTAGGAATCTCTATTTATGTTATGAGAACTGATATGAAATCCTAATGTACTAAGAACAGTGTGACTGTCCTAGTACATTCAGAGTAAAAGCTTAGTACAACTCAGGTACTTATGGTGGAAAATCCTGCATCCTGCTCTGTGCTGAGATCAGTCAACTTACTAATCTTGAAAACAATTTACCTGGTGGCTTCATCACATCAGGAAAGTTTGAAAAAAACAGAAACAGAAAAGGAGGATCCTACAAATGGGGAGCTACATCAGCTACATTGATTTTATTTTTTAAATTAGCTCTCATATTGTTTTCACAAATAAAGAGCAATGAATTTAGTCCTGCCTTCTTTTAGTTTTTAGAATAAAAACTTCCAAAAGAAGGTCTTGATGTGTTTGTCCCTGAGAGCTTCCATTTTAATGTAGAGAAATTGAGAATGAAAGAGATGGATCAATTCTTTCTTTTTCCAGTAAGAATTTGTAATTTCCATGGCACTTTGAAGCTGCTGATTGGATGATCCAAGTGTCTAGTAGTGAATGCTGAGATACACCTGAGCTGGCTTTTTTGTCGGTCTACCAGAGTAAGCCCTGGTATTTACAGCTAACCCAGTAATATCACAGTGGGAGAATGAACTGATTTCCACAGGTCAAAGCAGGGCCAGGAGCAAACCCCAAATTTCCGAGTCCCAAGCATGTGCTAGTTGTAGCACTATCACTTTATAATGTATCTAAAATTAATTACTTTAACTCGAGTTTCTGACACAAACAGAGCCATTGACCCCTATTCCTATGGCTTTGTTGCAAGTTTTTATAGCTGACTCTTCAAAAATTTGCCCTACTATTCAGAAATTAAGTAAGTGAGCAGAAATCAGTGATCACTGAATGCTCAGTGCAATTTTTTTCTTTTTCTATACAAAGTGAAACAACACTCTTATGGTCTCTCACTCTTTCCTTTTCAGATTACTATTCTGACTTCCAAATTATAAAGCCATTTTTCAACCAGAAAATAATGTCAGCAGGCTAAATACTTCACACTGGGGTGCCTGTTCTACTAATTCTGTACTTTGCTAGTATCCTCTCCTCTGTGGCTGACTGTTATTTAGCAACAATACAAAAAAAACCCAAACCAAACCCAAACAGTCAAGGAAACATCTCTGTGGTACATTTCCATGCTCAGTTTCTATTATTGTTTAAAACATGCAATTCAAGTTCAAGTGGGGTTTTGCAACCAGACGGAAATCTTAGAGCTGGAAATGAACTCTCCATAACCCAGGACCTTTCTGCCTCTCGTTTTCTCACTCTTTCTTTTTCTCTCCAGCAAGCCCAAAGCCAGATAACACTTTCCTGCTGTGAATTTTTTTAAGTCACCCAACAGCTCTAGAAAATGAGAGCTGTCATAGTTTTTGGATGAAAAAATCATCTGCAGCTCACACAGATCTATGAGCTGATAGGAGTTAATTGACAGCTTGCAGGATTTCGTCTCCAGGCAGAGTTAGAGAGAATGAGAGCCCTGTGGGTTTCATTTGGGCAGAGATAAAGCAGGTTTTTATTCAGTGCTCATGGAGAGAGCATAATTAACCTTTTAGAAGTTTTAAGAATGATCAAATTGTTATTCATTTTTGCAAATGAGAAAAGTGAGCTTCTTTCTCTGCCAGGAAAATACCAGTGCAGATTTCAAGGTCACTTGATGATTTCCTTTGACTGAGAAGATGGAAGTTGGACAAAAAAAAAAAAAGGAAAATGAAAAGACTGAGAAATGGCATCATAAAATCATTCAGGATGTGAAATGAACAAATGTCCTTTTTTAACGTAGTACACTTAAGCTAACATTTACTGCATGTCCATATTAACCTACTGGATTCTGCATGTGATGAAGGCTTCCCTTGTTATTGTAAACAAGAAACTTGGCACTAGCAGCTGTCTTTTATGTTGCCCCTATAATTTTTTAAAAATATTTTCTTACAGGAGAAAATGGGCCATTATAAGAGGTCAGTGGTTTGGCTTTCAGGATGTGTAATATATTTTCAAGTGCTGTAAATTCCTAGAGTGATAATATGAGTGCAGAATAGGAGAATTAAAAACCTGCAAATTATAAATGAATATACCATAAATCCATTTTAACACTAATACATATATATATAAAAAGATAATAGCTGAGAGTTCTTGTTCCCTAAACATTCTTAGATGGAAAAACAAAATTCTCAGATTTTTGATTATTGTCTAGTCAGTATCTTTTATACAACATAAAGTAATATAACCATGCATTAGTTTCTGTCTGACTCTGTCTGACAGAGTTTCAGTTTTCTAGAGTAGCTGGGCACAAGATACCTTGCAAAGTTATAACCTGTTTTCCTTGTGTTATTTATTGGTAATTTTTAGTACACTGAGAAGAGTACAAAAATAGATGTAGACTCTTGTGTTCCATAGAAGCAACATCGCAATCAGTAATAAGAAACCATGAAAAAGAATATCAGAAAACCTATTCTTCTAAACTGTAGACCTTATGATGCTATACTAATTCTAGTCTTGTAGAACACCTTTTTTTTGTCCAGCCCTACATGGTGACATTATCTATGTGAAGGATGACATGCTCTGTACTTTTTTGCTCCCTGCCACCCATTCTCAGATTTTTCCCTGCCTCTCCCTCCATTCCCAGAATTTTCTGATCTGAGATCCACACAGTATGATAAAAACCATTCCAATATGTCACATACTTTTTCTGATCTGGAGCTACTCAACAACCTTCAGCAACTGAAGTTACAGTGGTTTTTCTGCTGTTATAAATCTACTAACTACCGGTTGTGAGAGTCTCTCCTGGTATATGCTCCTGTTCCCTACACTCTAGCTTTTGCTGTAGGATGTGCTCTCTGTCCCTTTTATGTTTTATTCCTGGATGTGAGTGCCAAAATTCTGGAAACTTTTCATGCATTCTTTTGAAAAAATCTTGTAAGTAAGTTTACTTAAGTCAGTTTAGGGAGTGAGGAGTCACATACTTTGCCATGAGACTTCAAATAGTTCTTTCTTTTAAGTCACAAAGATTATCTTTTCTTGTTTTGCTTAGAGTAAATCCTTATTATTACCGTATGTTAGGAAAAGATTATTTTGGCTTCCTAAAACCCACATGAGAGGACAAGGTGTTCTTCATGTGATTTCTGCTAATGTTATCTGCTCTTTATAATGTGTTGGGTTTTTTCTTTCATAACTGCTATTGTACATTTGATTTAGGCAGGCTGGAAGATAAACTGACACCTCAAAAAGTTCTGAGACTCTGACTGTCTTGAGCCACATCTTTACTGTTAAAATATATTGACATATGGCAGGATGAATAAGTCATAAATATCAGTCTCTTGTTTACTGTGGCATGTTCATTGCACTATTGACTCTACTAAGAAAGAGTGCAGAGGGTTAGGCTATGAAAACCATTTTTTTTCCAAATTTTAGTACTCCAAATTTCACGGCACCATGCTTCACCCAAGGGAACACTAAAGCTTGCACACTTTACCTTAAAACATCTGTGATTTCCATTCCCATCCTCCTGGTGTACCAGAGCACCCTTTTAGTAGGTACAAATCATAATGCTCAACTATGACAAATAAGAGTAGTTTTTCAGTCTGAGTTCCAGTGGGTTCATATGAGGAGAATACTTCTGGTAACACTCTAGGAGGCTTCCCAGGTAAGTCCTTTTATTACCAGACTCAGATAATGGATTTTAAATAGGAAGATTTGGCAGTAGTAACACTTCCAGACAATTAAATGTTCAACTTCACATTTTAGACTAAAATGCACAGTTTTAAAAAAAATGTGTCTGTCATATCAGTTTCAAAAAACTAATAATGAGCTAGCTTATATCTTCAAACTTGCAGCAGGCCTTTAGGTTTTTCATATTGTAAAAGCTTATTTAGTTTTTACAATATGAAAATTATAGACATGGTGACATTTAAACCTTTGCTTTTCATAGCATTTCACACTTACACCATTTTAAAAGACAGCTATTAACATTTACAAAAATCTTTCAGAAACCAAATGTTCTAACATGCAGAATTCCAATTATACTGTGTAAGAGGGTTATCGACTATTCTTCTACAAGAATACTTTGAAGTAATTGGTATTAAACCCAAAGCTAAA